AATCAAGTTAATATGGTTAGAATTGTACTATGCGATAGTTTTTAGGTCGATGGAAGCGAAATACGCCTTGATATAGCTGGCCGAAATTCACGAAAAACCCGTCCGCCATTACTCAGCTCGCAACCGAGAGCCAGCGACTGAACTGAAAAGCGGTTTTACACATGAGTTGGCCTGTGACGTCATATGCGCACTTTCGCATCATGCTTCGTGTGTTGTGAGAGATTCCACAGTGGAAATTCTAGGCGTTTTATAAGATGTATTCTTCCTCGAATTCTTCTTCCAAATGGCATACAAATTTAGCCACGTTTTTTAGGTCGAGCTGCGCATATGACGTCACTTCCGAAGGGCTCCAACTAGTGCCAACTCTTTTTGCCACACTCGGCCATTTTTGAATTGAGTAATGGCGGGCGACCAAAAACGAAAAACAAGATTGAAATAATCATACTTCCCGTGAGAATTTTTCGATTAAACTTGGCAGGGTAAGTGTTTCTTACTTCTAGTTTCCAGAAGTGAAAAGAAAAGGCAATGTGAAATTTTGATCATAGTGGCACTTTAATTTTATCAGTTTTAGCAATGTCAATAGCTTTTTCAAGGGTAATGAGTCTGAACCTCTCTGAATAAGTCTTTCTCTTGTTTTGGTAGCACTGCATCCAGTGACGACTTTATCTCCAACCATTTCATCGGAGTCGACATATAACAATCTTTTACAAATAACTTCAAATCAGTGAGAAATTGCTTGAATGATCACATGACTGACCCCCTTGCTGAACTTTCTGGTGGAGCTTGTACCAACTTGTACCAATTGTGCTTTTGACATTTCATCAGTTCTAGCAATGTCCATAGCTTTTTCAGAGTAAGATCTGAACCTTTCTGAATCAGTCTTTCTCTATCTTTTTTTATCTCGAACCACTTCATTTGGGTCGGTATAAGCACAATCCTTTATAAGTAACTTCAAATCGGTGAGAAATTGCTTACAGCTCGCCCAATCCATCTTTGGAGTACTGCCAGCTGATAAGTTTCCTTCCATTCTCTTCGCTTTCTTCGCTTTTCGAAGCTCGATTGCTTTCCCAGAGGCGTAGTTTTAACTTTCCACTTCTAACGCCGGCCATGTTAGGTACTACCTTCACACGACATTAATTTTTTCTTACTCCTCACCCCTATCGAATGTGACAACATTACGACACGCGTATCACCATATGATGCATACATGGCTCTTTCAACCAATCAAAAAACAGCAAGCAAGTCGTTTACCTCCAAATCGGTCGACATTGTACCAGTGGCTAAACCGTGCCGTAAAATTCAAGCTGGTGACAGAAGAAGGCTAGAACACGCCCAGATAGTTTCCATGAAAATGTCCGTGAAAACACAAACCATTTGGTTGCTGTTTTTTATTTCATCGATTCAAGCACGGTATGTAACAAATTTCCTTACGTCTGTCGTAAAACGGTCAATATTTTAGGTTATTTATTTTGCACTCATTTCTTTCAGCAATTTCATTTTATCGGAACATCCGAATGATTATTTTAATCCAGTACTTGTTTCAAATACACATGTTACCAACCTGTTTTGAAAAGATTAAAAAACCAAAACATTTTCTGATGACGTTGATTGAAAAAATTTGTTTTGAGATGAAGTTAGTCGTACTGAGCAGGGCTGCTTCTTTCATTAACAAAATATGGCAACACGTTTAGGTATTTGCCACCAGTACTAGTAAAGACTAAAAAGGAAATTAATGAACCTTTGCAGGTTCCAGTAAAAATCTATTAACCCAACAGATAAAGAATCATCTAACTCGTTTATATATTGGTAAATACTAGGTGAATGAGCGGGCTACATTTAGGTGTCGCCCGCTCTCTGATATACTATTACGTGAAAACGAAAACGAAAAGTGCCACGAATTGTTGCTCCACGGATGTGTGGTCCGGAGCAAGGACACGAACAAAGATATTTGTCAAATTAACAGAGACCCAATTGCCGATCCATCTGCTTTTTAAAACAGTCTCATTTTGCTTCTCGTTTAAATACAAGAGCGTTAACAACAAGCCTGGGATAATTTGTACCAATTACTAACTTGGCCGATCGAACCTAAGAAGCAAGGTGTTGACAAAGAAAGCACCAGAAGAGAAATATGTATCTACTTTGCCTCCGTTCAAAATGTTTCCATTTAGGTTTTTTTTCGGACTTAGTTACCTGACACACCCGTCGCCCCAGGGCGTTATACGCTCATTGTAAATTCATGTTAGAGGAAGAAAGCGGTAGTAGAATAGACAAGGTTAAAAAGAAGAGAAGGAGGGAAGAGACACAAATCAGAGATGTCATCTGAGAACTGACTGACGCAAGTTCTAAGAAGCCACCTTTATTGCCACGAGCTAAAGCGGGGAATGAAGATGTAGAGCTCAGATGACTTGATTTAAGATCAGAATAAAAGACCATACTTGACAAAGTTTTTGCATCGCTATTACACGACAACAATTTTCCTCTTGGTAAGAGAGCAAAGGTGCAAATTTAAAAAGGCTGAGTAAAGTGAAATTCGTCCGCTAAAATTAATGTTGTGATACAATTATACACCATATAAATGTACTTTCTCTTACGACTTCGCAGGATGTATGCCAAATCGAAAAGTACCTTTCGAATCATAGAGAAACTCTTAATAAAATTTTGAATTTACCTTAACCCAAGTTCTCAAGATACTACGGCACTGTACGCTTATACCCTATAATGTGCTGTACTATGTCATGGATGTCTTTTTTTGTTTTCTTTTTTCCTGTTCTATCTGTTTGACTGTTTGATGTTCCTCATCAAAGTGGAATAAGAATTCGCCGTGATTTGGGTGGAGTTTGCAAAGACATGTGGACAGCAGCTGGTAATAACATGGTTGTTGGGACGGATCTGGTTGTAGACACTTCCAATTCTGCACAATTGTTTAATCTAAAGCCTTCGGGTAACGCCAAGCTGGGTCATCCTGTTTACAAAAAGTTCAAAGGTAAGGTTGATTACAGTCTGTGCTAAAGTGTATTTAATCGAGAGAAGGTCAGTATTACGGCCCTAGTCTCTTTGAAAAGGTTCTCTTTCCATGGCAATCTTTTCCTAACTATATTTAGAGAAGAGGTATTTTATGTCCCAGAGGGAAATGATAAATTACGTTCTCCGTAAGTTCTTTAAATTTTCAAGTGGAGAATAAATAGCTAGAGAAACTGTACTAAAAATTCATGACAGAAGATTATATAATTATTATATCTAGGTCATCTAAGACCTCTAAGAACAACGGGAGATATCTAAAAGATCCAAATTCAAATTTAAGATAAAAAACGATGTCTCTGATCTGGGATATCTGCAGAGCACCACTCTTAGTTTTAAACATAAGAAGCCTTGATTTTGGACAAGCCAATTTAGGAAGCTCTTCAGTGTGTAACTTGCGGAAAATCTTTCCGACCTTTTTTTCTTTTGAATTTTCAACTTCTGGCCTGGCCGAGTGGCCTGAAGTATAATAAGCTCTATTTCAGATCTAACATAGCCGGCATAGTTGTAGACTTGAAAACTCGAATAAGGTTTTAATTACGAAGATCTGGTTTGACTGTACAAAAAAGGAAACAAACATAAACAAAACGAAGTGAAACAAAAGTACTGCAGTGACAACATACTTCCAAGATTTGTGGACTCGCAGGAAACGTAAAGAAAACATTCATGAGAAAAAATAAACAAACATTTAGGAACGAACTTTGACTACTAGAGGTCCGAGCACATGGTCCATACCATAATATCAACAATACATGACGTAGATTACCAGTCCCGCGCGGACTGAACACGGGAAACGTTTTGTAACTTACAATAGTTTCTATGAGCAGTTAAATTCAATATTTGTGATCACGTTTAGAAAACGAGACTACAGCGCTCTCTCATAATTTATCCATGTCTTTGGAAAGCCCTTCTAGACAACTACATTGCAGACGAGGACATACCAGAGAAGAACGATGCCCAAAAAGTGGCTGAGGAGGATGACTTTATAAACACTATCGCTGTTTCTAATGGGCCTATGGATATCGCTTTCAAGTACCTAAAAACAAGCGGAAAAACCACTGCTGCTGTAAGTTATTAAATCGTTCTCTGTGTCGACTAAGTAATTTTCTTGTGATTGTGAGTACTGGACAGGAATTGCTTTTGATTTTCTTTGTATCACTATAATTCATTCCGTGCTTGGTTAACCCACACATTGTAGAGCACTGGACCGCCGTGCGGAAGGTGGAAGGTTCAAGCCCCAGACCGGAAACACTCAGGGCCTAACGATGATTTAGGATAATGTGTTACCTTGCTTGCTATGCCAAATCCGCAAATGATTATTCCTTCTAGTCTCCCCGGACAAGGACGATAAACCTTTGGCCCCATCTCTTGCATCTTCTCTGTGCTGGCAATACGTTAAAGACCCAGTGCACTTCTTGTAGCTCGGTGATCTTACTTTGTCATTGTTTATAGAGGCCTCCATTTAAGCCAGCTTTGAGCTTAACCGGGCCAGTCTGTCTTATAATCGCGAATACATACGTACGTACATACAATTGGCCTCCAAAAGTGACGTGCACCACTCCCTGAGCTAATCGTACACAAATCTGAAAAACCACTCCCTACTCAGTCACTCGTGTTGTCTTGTGTTCCCGGAAGGTAATTTCAGTTTTTTTTTTACCTTAACTTCTCAGTGTTTTAATGGGATTTAGTTCTTGATTAGGATTGGTCATTGTGATTATTTGGTTACTACTCAATCGGAATGCACTTTCGGGGAGCACCTTACTTTGTCCACATCGTTCTTTAGTTTAGAACTTATTTTGACGTTTAGTACGTTTCACACAACTGAAGGTTAGTTGCATAGATAGTAAAAAAAAAGACGGTGAATTTGAGCTCGGTAGCGAAATAGCGAAAGATGCTTTTTCGTCTTTTCAAGAGAGTAGTACAATGCAAAAACTAAGATTCCCATGAAGAATCGAGCCAAAACCTTCAAGACAGCGATTCATTTCCCCTAGGGTCGATGCCCTAGGAACTCGGAAGTTTCTCCCTGTCCTTCCCTCGTGTCAAGCACAAAAAAAAACCTCTTCTAAACATCAGTTATTTCCGTGTTTCACAAGGACTTAAACGCGTTCAAGCCTATACTAAAGACCATGTGGTTCCAAAAGTACCCAAAAGGAGGAAAAGGAGCATACTCTGGATTTGAACACACATTTGTTGGTAACAAAAAAGAAAAATTTACTGTAATATCAAATGCACATATTACTGCTTAAGAGTAGGTTTGCCATAGCTGAATTTCTTGGGGATATCCAATCGCTTTTTCAAAAGATGTTACTTTTTAGCGTTCGCCTTAAACCCGTCAATTGATAAGGTGTAATGTATATATATATTATCAAGCGTAGGAGACCGTAGTTAAATGCTATTAGTGGGATATGGTCAAAATATACATTTTTTTTTTATTTTCCGGAGGGTACTTAACATCAGCTCAGTTTCGGTTAGTAAGACCAATTTTTTTTTCTTTTTTTGTGAGCAAGTTTTGATGGTTGAATAGTGTTTTCACAGGGAGGAAATGAAACCCGGCATCTAAGCCATCCTGCTATTTTTCATACTTGATAGGTGAACTTGCCAAAAAAAAAGTTGTCAAGGGTCTTCACAACTGGTACCAATTCCATCTAGAACAACAAGCGAAAAGACTGGCTTACACTCCTCCACCTAAGAATGCCGTTGATTTGAACAAGAAGGTAACGTCTGATTGCTTCAAAATAAAGAATAAATGGCCGAACTTGACATCCAATTTGATATGTTTCCACATGTAAACTGAGGAGATTCGTTTCAATAATGTAACCCTTGATCCGAACAATATTTGTTGGCGAGCAGAAATATTAAAAAGAAAAACAGCAAGGGAAAAAAGGATATGTTAGGCAAGAGAAAATCAAACTATAGTGTTTATTTGTTTCAATGTGATGAAAAGAGAAGCTATTTAGATTGCCTACAATTTAACTGGCGCATGAAATGACCTCAAACTGGTTCATATGATTGAGAGAGAATATTTCAGTTTTCCCTGATTCTGATTTCTCTAAGTACCCTGAATAAATCTTAATATCGAAATGATAACTGGTGACATTAGGTGATATAAAATGATTTGAGTTTATCATTATGATTAATAAAAGGGGAGGCAGAGCATTTCTAAAACGGCATCGTAGAAAATTAACAGGTCTGCGTTCGTAACTGAATTCATCTCCACATTAATTTAAAAATGAAACTGCGATAGCGCCTTAACGAAATTTTAACCATCATTCATCTACACTCGTCATCCACTTTTTCTTGACCCCACGCTTCCCAAATACTGATATTGATTCATCATCCTATCGCAGCCCCCGCTCATCAATGCGGCATTCACGTGGAAGGGATCTAGCAAACCTGGCAGCAGTTTCTTCATCGGAACCAGCCCCGCATTTGAGATGGCCTTGTACACCGCATGTTTCTTTGGAGAGCCTGGCGACTGCACGTGCAAGATAGACAGTCATCTGCTCCAGATAAAGACCATCAATTTCAACAACGCAGGAATGGTTCTCACTTCATATCCCATAGCATAGATGCTTCTTACATGCTTATCCATGTATTTCTTGTTATTATATTTGCTATTTTAAGGGAGGATCTATATTGCTGATATTTATTTCCTTTCGTTTACCCAAATATAACTTTTTGGTAATATCGCCATGTTATTAATAAATAATAAATTACAGAGAAGAAAATTGTGGTGTTAAAAAGCCTCTTAAAGTTCTTTTAGACCTATTCCTCAGCCACCCTACATTGCAAGCCGCGCGTGGAGGTAACATGGTAATGTCTTCAGCCGAGGAGAGTCTTAGTAGCCTACTCACAGGCTGCCGGATGAGTATAGGTGCAGCAAGGTGGATCAGGAAAGCCACAATTGAAAATTCGGGCTTATTTCTCCTAGCTTGTTTAATGGAGTTATATCCTACCGGATGGCTCATGATCATGAAATTCAAGCTTTAATTAATTATGAATCCTTCCCATTTTGGTCTCTTCATTTGGAGGGAACCATGGTCGTGAACTTTTCTCGTAAATCTCGACCATCCCCGTTTGAATCTCCTCCTAAGGCAACCCTAGTATCAAAGTTTACCATCTTTCATATCAACAACGCTTAAAACTAGCGTGAGACGGAGGGTTACAATGTGAAACTTTGACATAAATGTGAATTCTGATCATGACCTCACCTGCCCAACCCAGATTTAAAATCCTCCCTCGCCAAGAAAGGTAATGCATTGTAATCCACTTGTCAAGGTGACGAGAAAACAATTCCAGGAAAAAAGATTTTTGCACCAAGCTGACAGAACTCAGCTAGTAAGTTCTGAAAGTGTTTTGTGATGCAGTCCTATCAACCAATCAGAAAACAGTAAGCAATTCGTTTACCTTAATGATCAGTTGATATCTTGCCAGTTGCCAAACCGTGGCTTAGCTTCCAAGTGGCGCCGAAGGAAGCCTAAAATCGCCTCGACAGACTTCCCATGAACATGTCCGTGAAAACATAAATCTTTTGGTTTCTATTTTTCATATCATCAATTAAAGCACGGTATGTAACAGAATTCAAAAGTGTAATGACCGCTAAATTTAAGCCTTTGTTTTAAGTGATTAGCCTCTACTCTTGACTATGCGCTAATYSKTKKTTWAMMA